TGTAAACTTGTAAATAAAAAAGGAGAAACTACAACAAATGAGAAAGATATTTTAAAAATTGCTCAAGATTTTTACTCAGAATTGTATAAGCGAGAAGAACTTTCAGATCCTGATCAAAATCAAATACCAAAAGTTCAAAATGTAGGCTCAGAAGACATCCCAGATATTACAACAGAGGAAATAAAATAAGCTCTCCCGGATATGAAAAACAATAAATCACCTGGAGAAGATGGGATAGTCATTGTACAAATCAAAGAAGGAGGAGGAACGTTAGTAAATGTGTTGAAATATATGTTCAATGATTGTTTGTAAAGAGGCGTAACCCCCTCCCAGTGGCATATTGCAATAATAACCATAATGCACAAAAAAGGTGACATTTCAGACCTAAAGAACTACAGACCTATTAGTTTGCCCTACCATAGATACAAACTATTCATGAAGATAATAACAAAACGGCCTGTGAACAAACTGGGTAGTTACTAACCTTGTGAACAGGCTGGGTTCCGCTCCAGATACGGAACAAATGATCATCTACAAGTTATAAAAACACTAATAAAAAAGTGTACAGAGTATAACAAGCCTATCTTTCTTATATTCGTATATTACGAAAAGGCGTTCGATACTATATAGATCATCATAAAATGGTTTTGACTACCGATATATCGCCTTGATTAAAAGTATTTACGAACCTGGTACAGCTTGTGTCCGCCTTCATGAAGATACCAAGAAGTTAATAGAACGTGGAATTAGACAGGGTGATACTATCTCCCTAAATTGTTCACAGCTGTTCTTTAATATATGTTCAAGCAAATGGAACGAGAGGATAATATGGGAATCAATATAAATGGGGAAGATCTGAACCACCTAAGATTTGCCGATGACATCATTTTAATATGTGATATATGTGATAAAGCTACAAAAATGCTGCACATGCTCTATAAAATGCTAAAAAACAATAATTGGTCTTAAAATTAACACCTCAAAGACAAAATTTATGACCAACCTTATAGTCAGCTGTAAAATTCTGATTGACAGCCATAGCATCAATCAAGTAATATCTTACAAATATCTAGGACATAAGATTCCGTTAGACGAGATAATCAGACAACTGAAATACAAAGAAGAGTAGGTCTCATATGGGCCTTTAGTGGATTGAATAACATTTTCAAGTCTATTATCACAGTTTGTTTAAAAAGAAAGATTCTTAAGCAGTGCGTTTTACCGGTTGTTACATACGGTACAGAAACACTGACTCTGACAAAAAGAATAATAGATAAAATAAGAGTTACACAACGCGCTATGGTAAGATTAATATTAGGTATTACCATCAGAGTAAACCTAGAAATAAGAAGAAGAACAGTCACAAATGCATTTGAAAAAATAGCCATGGCTAAATGGGCTTGAGACGGACATGTTGCCAAATTAACGGATGATAGATGGACCAGAAAGATGAAAGGCGACCAAGGCAAGAGGCATATCGAAGCAGAGGACGACCATCGACTAGATGGACGGATGATATCAAGCGCATCACCACAAACTGGATGCAAGAAGCTCAAGATAGAAATAGGTGGAAATTGTACGAGGGCCTACGTTCAGCAGTAGACAAATATAGGTTAATTGATGAAGAGGTATATACCATCAGCGTAATCTGGATCCTCCAGTATGTTTGCTAATCCCCAGTTCATTCCTCATTATAGTTCGCCTTTGCTAATACGGAGTCCAGTGCAATGTTAATTAGTAGAGGGTATAAAAGACAGCCCTGTTTTACTCTGTTTAGCACAGCTATTGGGTCAAATGTTATGCCGTTGGGTGGACGTGGCTTTATGTATCACTTTAGAGTTCATTGATCTCATTTGAAGAGTTGAATTCCTGCGACTGTTCTACGATTACTCTTAGTATCTTAATTTGACCTATGCATATTTGGTTAAGTCTGAAACCAATAGTCTGAGGTATTACTGTCAATTTATTTTTAGCTTTTACCAACTCTAATGGAATATTGCCAGGGCGGGCAACGTTTACTTGGCAGGTTTCAACTGTTATACTAATTTGTCCATATTTCGAGCTGGGATAAGTATGTTCCTATAAGTAATATGCTATAACATAGACCTCGTCGTCATAAATTTTAAACTTTAGTATATATTTCATGAAATAATAATACTGAAACATACATAGGAGGTGCAAGAACTTCAGAGCCATATAAAGTACTGAGAGAATTGAAACAAACCTTAAAAGAAATAATTAAATTGGAAAATATACAGCACAAAGAATAGAAGGACTATTACAAGGAGCTGTTAAGAGAACAAATACCACAATTCATTGAAAAAGAAAACAGGCGAAGACTAAGCAGATCTCCACAACAAAAAATAGAAATAGCAGATAGGGAAATTAGAACAGCCATAAAATCAATCAAAAATAAGAAAGCACTGGGACCTGAGGCATGTCACCTGAGCTTATAAAGTACGGCTCAAAAAGTTACATCGGATGAGAAAATGAATATTTCAGAAAGAGAGCTCCCATCTAATAAATAGAGCTCCCAAAGGAATGGATGGAGGCATATATGACACCTATATTTAAGAAAAGACATAGAAAACGATGCGATTATATAGAAAGATACTTCGAGAAAAGATAGAGCAAGAGATTAAAGGCAAAATCGGGGAACACCACGCAGGTTTTAGGGCAGAAAGATCATGCATAGACCACATATACACATTGGAACAACTGTTGGAAAAGAAAAAAGTAAAAATAGAGATATACATTTGGCATTTTGTGGACCTGAGAAAGGCGTATGACTATGTACCAAGGTCAGAACTATGGGAGGCAATGTACAAATTAGAAATCTAGGCGGAACTCATAGAATAAACTCTACAAACGCTCTGTATAAAGAAAATAAAGTGTCCAATAAAATGGGAACAAGACTCATAGGAGACTTCACTACAACAAAAGCGCTCCTACAGGCTGTTTCACATCATCAACCCTACTCCAAATAGAGCCTTGACTATCTGGAAAAGAAAATTTGCAAGTATGGGAGTACCGGTACGAACCGAATACCTATATACGTTAAGCTTTGCAGACGATCAAGTGGTGACTGCACAAGATCAAGAAGACCTGAGTTAAATGATGAAGAAACCACAAGAAGAATATACCAAGGCTTACCTAGATATTAACCTCGCCAAAAAAGAGTACCTATCTACAAGTGAAGACATAGAAGATCTACAGATTGACGACGATGTATCAATCAAAGAAAAGGACAAATTCAAATTCTTGGGGTTTATAATCACGAAAAAGGCAACAACAGAGAAAAAAATTAAGCAAAGATTAGGACAAACAAGAATAGCAATCCGACCACTTAACTCAGTACGGTGGGATAGACACTTAAATATGAACAAAAACAGAGATTTATAAAACATTAGTACGAAGTATTATGACATATGGGGCTGAAAACTGAATTATAAACAAGAAAAACAGCAGTAAGATAGTAGCAACAGAGATGGAATGTCTGCGAAGATCCTGCAGAGTAACAAGAATAGATAGGACAAGTAATGACGAAATAAAACAAAGAACATCAATAGAAACACATATACTAACATATATAGAACAAAAAAGACTAAAGTGGTATGGACATGTAAGAAGAACTAGCGACAGCAGATGGATAAAGACAATAACCGAATAGAGCCCCATAGGAAGGAGGAAAAGAAGACGACCCCCGAAGAACCTGGAGGAACGAAGTAGACGACGTCATGAGTAAGAAAGTCCTAAACGATGGAGAACAGAGAGATATTAAAACGGTTGAGCGAGGGAAGGCAGTAAATTAATGGTCTGACTAGGCCGAAACGTTTTGAAGATAATATTAATCCATTTGGATAATATTTAAAATTTTAATAAACATATGCTAATATAAATCAGAAGATTTTACTTAATTATTTCTCCTCTTGTTTGGTTTAATGGTTTAAATTTGATCTTTCAAAGTACGTGCCGAATTCCCTATAATAAAATACTAAAGATGCTTATACTGAGAAATTTTCATATCACGTGTTATTAATTTTTTTTTACAAAAGCCTTTCCCGCCTGCTGAATGTACGCTTATGTTTATTTGGGAGCCACTCCCGATCAGCGACCTTGTGAGGTATTCTTTTCCACTATTTATACTCCTTCACTATCAAAACGATTGTAGCTTACGTTAGTTTACAATAATTTGTTATGCAATCAGCAATCATTCGCTTAGCATAGTAACAATTTTATTTATTTGATCTCTTTCAGTGAAAATGATAATCAAAAAAAAACCAGACTTCTGGAAAACTAAAACTTTCTTAAAATAAATTTAAAGAAACATCAAACAAACAGATAACATGGAAGAAATTCTAATAATTGACAGTGGAAATGAGATTAAACCCATAAGATGAAGACAACTGGCAGATTATACAGTCTTTGTAAGGTTCTAATTATATTTTTGCAGTATTATAAAACAAAATTTTAATCACTGTATTCGTCTTAGTCTAAAAGACATCACCTACACCGTTAGCTTAACGAAAAATATATAAAATAATGTCAAAACACAAAGGGAGTGAAAGGAAATATTAAATTCACTAAATATTACAAGAACGGAAAAATAGCTAATATATCGGGGATCTTCAAATCGTAAAGTAAAAACAGAAAGACCAACAGTTTGATGATCTATCTTAAACAAAACAAGAACATTGGATGAAAATTGGATGTTGATATATTAATTTGTGATGATGATGACGTTTTATAGATTGATTGTTATTCATTTGTATGTAAATACATTTAACATATTTCCACTATTTCAGTTTATATGTAAACTTTGAAACCCGATAAATTATTAGACAATCGAATACAGAAAAACATCAGACAATAAACAAACATTGTGTTATTTAAGAAGCCAAGAAAGTTATTTATTTTAAGATTACCAAAACCTTAAATTTGTTCATAGTTTATATTTAATATCAGATGCTATCAAAAATTAATAATTTATAGGTACTTACATAATTTATTGATATTTACCACTTCTGTCTTTTATTTTACCACACAACCGACTGAATTAAGTAGCGATGAACAAATCGTTATTTATGCAAGCAATGTCAGTTGGGTTATCCCATATTATAATCGCGCTACAAACATTTAATTTAATTTAACATATAATTATTGAAAAATATCTCTTTCCAGTAAGAGGATGTGAAAGGTTTTCTGGTGTAGATTAATCATAAGGTTATCAGAATATGTGATTTTGGACACATATTTAAAAACGGCCAGAGAGGTACACACATAATATTTAAATTTATTTATTTGTTTTACTTTATTCTTTGATAAAGATGAAGATATTAAAAATCTATGTCATTAATGAAATGTTGCATCTAAGAGTACAAATAAAGCCTTTCAGGTAACCTAAACTGCTGCCCCAATGCAAGCGATGCCAGAAATACAAGAACACACAGGATTACTGAAAAAGGGAGCCAAAATGTGTTGTATTGGAAAACTTTAAAGTCAACACTGTAAAAAATCCATTTAGCTCCAAAATGTGTTCATTGCGGCAATGATCATCCTGCTAATTATAGAGGATGTAGCACTGTAAAAGCTCATCAAAGACTGAGAAATAACTCGCTGGCATGCCATCGATCCCTGGGAAGACTTTGTATCTTAGTTGGTTGAGAGCCTTCTCTATTTCTGCTCGTAAGATTATTGATGCTGTGTCTCTGATTGTCTATTTCTTATGTTCTAAGTCTGATGCATCGCTTGAAGTGTCTTTGTACAATTATGAACAGTAGTTTTTGTTTTTACTTCTTCATTATGGTTAATGAAGTATTTAAAGAGAATAAAATGATAAAAAATCAGATATTAAAGGAAACAAATTACATATTTCAGAAACCCCATAGTTCCATTTTTATAAAATGTTGAGAAATTAGAAAACACCTTATTTCATGAAATATTTTAAAAAACCTGTTAAGGTTTTGTAATAAAATCATGAGATTAATGTGTTTTAATCAGTTTGCATAAAAAGTGGTGAATTTTAGATTTATATATGTTTTTTTTTCTGTTTTACTTTGTAAAAATAAGAGAGCATGTTTTGTATAAACATTTTTTATTCAAACATATGGGCATACAGAATAATATATCAGTATTAATCACTCATTTGGTTATATTATTTTATTTGAATCTCCCTCGCATGTTGGCAAATTAAAAATTTCTCCGTAAAAGTCCTTGACTTCTTCATTATCTGGTAGATACTTTTCCAGTTTTCTCAAGTCTTGCATCTTCTTGATATTAATAGAAATATGTCCTTCGGTGTATGCTTTTCTTGTAGGGAAACTAATAACATCCTTGTTGCTATTTCGTAGCCGAAAAGAATGATCTATCAAACCATCTACGTACTCTTTTGTAATAAGAACTCCATCGTGATCACTCGAATGAATAAAGTGTCGAAAGTTGGATATTTTAAAACCAATTTTTTGATCTCATGGAATATTTCTGCCCAAAGATTCATTGGAGAGTATCGTCTTTTTAAAATACGTGGGCCACCATCCTTTAAAGTTCAATATGTTATCAGAATTCGGCAAAACTACAGTTAATCGGTTTAAACTCTTGTTAGATATTATGATAAGCTCTACATACTCTTTTAACGTGTAAATCCTGTCTGATTTTTTTCCTTTCAAGAACGGAAAAATCCCGATCACACGGTAGAAATGAATGTCCCCGTATGGGATAATATTATTCAATATTTTTGAATCTATTAGTTGAAACTAATGCAGAAAAAAGTCTAACTATTGTATGGTTCTTATTCTGGGCGGCACATGCATAAGAAAAGAAGTGAAAATGGTTAATATTCTTAAATTCTGGATTGTTGTCAAGAAAATGTAATAAAAATGATACAACTTTATTAGGCCCTTTAGTTCCTGTTCTCTCATGATACACATAGAATGTTACCTTATCATCTTTCAGGTTATGAATACATAAAACATTAACAGTAAGTTGTCTTAAATAGAATGTTTCCTGTACAGGAATAACCGGTAGTTGCAGGTTTTGCATATAATCAATGTACCACCTACATTATCATCTACTTCACAAAGTTCTGAAATGGCTTTAAGTTTGTTATAAAATTTTTTGGCCCGTTTCTTGTGAACAGTTTTGTCTGCAGTGTCACTCTTTTTGCTGTTTCATTTAATAATTTACTTTTTATTTTAGTTTCTAACTCTTCACAGGTGTCGATAGGTTAACATGGGCAGTTTTGACCTGAAACGAAGCAATATGTTGTATGATTGAATCTATAACAAGTCCTGACTTCGCATTGTCAGATTGATTTTTACCTCGTTTATCTATAGGAACTTGTCCCTCTCGTGTTAACGTGGTTAAGCGACGCAACCGATCATTGGTAATGCCATAAATGGCAATAAATTCTTTTCTACAGATTTTATTTGTATCTGTTGGTCCCTGAATTGTATATTCAAAAGAAGCTAGTCTATCAGGCTTGCAAGAAATATCAGCTGGTTTTATGCGCCTTCGACGTGCAACTTCATGGACTGAAATAAGCGATTGTAGCAAACAATCTTGTTCGTTCTTGGTGTTAAAGCTCCTGAAGTTTCGGAATAATTGAATGCGTATTTCTTCAGAAATTCGTAAAAAGCATTTTTGGCGACATCTAAAAATAAGTTTCATTAAAATTACAATAATAAAATATTAGATATTGTTTAGTTAGTTACTAATATTTTAAAGCTTTAAGGCTAACTTGCAGTCTGGACTTTATAGGCAGACCCTTTAACTCTAGAGTTTTTAATAACTTCTTTTTTATATTCACTGATAATACGTTGTATTCCACGCTTTTTTTTGGCGCGTTGAAGACTCATTTTTAATTTCCATTACTTAAATTATTATTAATTTTTACTGTAATTACAACTAACAATATGTAGAGATCACAAATAATGTGCATTACCTAAAAAACTCAGAACTTCCTGTCATGTCAAAAATCAGTGTGTTCAAATATTACATTTTAGAAACACTAAAATTCCTGGAGTTTTGGTGTTTCTGGAATATATAAAATTTTCAACTGGCAACAAATGTATGTAAATTTAGTGAGCTTTGGGGTTTCTGTTTACTGTTAAGTGCATATACCTATATACTAACAAAAATTACAGAAAACTGTAATTTCATAAATTTGTGATTTTTGGGTTTCTGAAATACGTGATTCAATTATCTTAATGAATTAAAGATTGGAAATTATATAAAATAGAAATACGAGAAACAACATAGTATAACAAGAATCACAGTTAATATGGAGGAATTTAATTTACAAAGAAAATGAAAACGTTTGTAAGCAGAATATACTGTAATGAAAAACAAAAGCAAACTTAAAGGTAATAAAAAGGGAAATAATATACTTTAACGATTATATATCCATACAGGAAAGATACGTACAAGGAACATTAAAAGAAAAGCCCAAGTAGAAGGAGACAATGGAAAGAACGTAAAAGTAGGACTTCAGAAACTTATAACAGATAATATGGAATAGTGATGGTGCAAAGAGAGGGACGAATTAACTTTTTGAGGAGTCATATAATATAGGCGACAAATACACCAAAAAACCTGACAAACATACTGGATGAAGCTAAGATGACGACCTGGCATGTACAAGGAAAATGACGTAACACGAAAAAACAAAAGGCTAACATGAAATGAGTTTTCATAGCTAATATAATTTTAAGGAGTTAACATAAAGAAATATAGAAAATAGGAAAGCAAGTATTTTTAGTAAGTTAGGGATCTGGAATACTAAAACAATACACAAGAAAGAAATAGAAATGGAGTTAGAAAAGGCAAAATTAGATTTCCTAGCCTTAACCGAAACGAAAAAGAAGGGCAAAGGAGAAATATAATTGGAAAATAGATATGTAATAATAGAAATTAGGAAAGAATAACAGTAGGTGCAGGTTTTATAATGCAAACTAATAAAAGAAAATTCTTGTGGAAATGGGAAGCTATATCAATGACAATAATAATCGTTAAAATTAAATGTCATGAGCAAACCAAAATCTTAATGTTTCTGGGAAGAATTATCACCAGTAACTGAGAGGTAAAGTAATTTTAAATGGTAAAGTAAATAAACATGTACAAGGTAAAGCATTATAATATTTATTAAGTCAATACATTTTTATAACATAAAGAGCATATACTATGACATTTATAAGTTAATTATAGGAACTATACATAAAATTGTAGTGTCATGATGAGCATTCTAAGGACTATATTTTCCAGCAAACAATATAACATTATTATATTTAATAAAGTATACAAGGGATGATCGGCGAAAAACTGTATCGGATCTTCGAGAAAGAAACGTGCCGACTTCGTTGCAACGAGAACAGCGGTGGCAGCTGCTGCTTCTACACCACTTTCAGCAACTTTAATGAAAGCTTTTTGAATTACCTCCGAAACACGCAACTCTTTGGCGTTCTTTGCCAATCCACTAAGATCAGCGTTAGAGTTAAAGATCTTTTGAACACCCAACGATTGAAGAATGTTTTTTAAATTCAACTCCGTTTCAACAGTAAACTTTGGTAGTTTTAAATGTACTGGTACATGAGTATATGGTTGAGGTTCAAATACTTTTTCAATGTTATTTTCTAAAGCAGCTATGCCATCTTTTTTGTTTGGTAAAGCAACACTAAAAACAAGACCATCACTTTTGAATGGAATTTCCAAAAACTGAGTATCTAGTACTTTATTTTCATAATGTCTAAATACTTCAGTCATTGTCATTGTTGGTTGATCTATTTGTTCGGAAGCTGTTCTGTAGAATTTATCTGTTACAGTGTTATAATCTTTAAAAGCAGTAGACCATTTAGCGCTTAGATATAATGCATTGATTAAAGCCATCACAGTGTCACTGTTGAGGTACTCAGGTTTAATGAGATCTTTAATTTTTTTGTGTGTTTGGTTTTCCACCCATTGATTAATTATGTTAGCGGCCTGTGCACTGTTTGAGAAATCTACTTGTTCCAGTCCTGATGCGTAAACACTTTCAGCGGTCTTTTTAAAATCATCTTCTAAGTTGATACCGTTGGCTACATATATTTTATTAGCTGAAGCTAATACTGCATTCTTATTGTTGATTTTAAGTTGTGGTAAAAGTTCCTTAAATCCTTGTTGGATAGTCTCTTGGGAATCTGGAAGGTGTAGTGCAGATACTAGCTCGCCTCTAGTGTCATCTTTCGCTACTTCAGAAGTTAGCGCCAATACGGTTTCAGCGGAAAGTGGACTGAAAATAATACTTCCATTCTGAGTTTTAAGAATTTCTTTGTACACATTTGACGTTAGTTGTTGATTTCCAATTGCTAATTGTTGAAGTGGACTTTGGACGTCTGATGATGCTGCTAGTGTTGTAGATATAATAAGTGCTAAAATGATGGCAGGCTTCATCATGGACTGTTATCTAAAAATACAAAAACATACCTTTAATGTTATAACAATTAACTTTTATACATATTTGAATACTGTCGTTTTTTATGAAAACTATATTACGCCTTACTGAATTGTTTCTTTTTTTTATAATTTTATATATCTAATTTTCACTGTATATGTTTTTATTATGTGTTCTTGTATTACTTCTTAGTTCCTAGTATACAAAAGTGACTTATTTTTACTGTGACATGACATGTAGTGTTTACTATGTAAAAATTGTCAATAAACCTATCTAATATAAATTTAAAGCAGTGCAATTTAAAAAGTTGTGTTATTTTAGTTTTATACTATCTAAATGTACCAACGATTGTACGATTTAAATTTGGTTGTTAGTATTATTTGTAATTTAAGGAAATCGAGTGACAGCAAAGAATGTATGCCACATCTTAGTTGTTAATTTACAATAATTAAGGAAAACCAGAAGTCTTCTGTCAAGCGCATTGACAGTAAAATCATAAAATATAGTGCAAACATTATATTGGAACCAAAGTGTCATAGTTCAAATTGATGGGCAACAATGAGGATCTGTAGAGGAGTTAGACAGGGATGTGTGTTATCACCACTTTTGTTTAACTTATATTCTGAAGAAATTTTCCAAAACACGCTCAATAATATCGAAGCGGGAGTCACCGTTAACGGAAAAATTAATTAATAATTTAAGATATGCAGACGACACTGTGATCATAGCAACGAGTATAGAGGATCTACAACATCTTATCGAAAGCTTGAGTATAAATAGTGCTGAGATGGGAATTACTATAAACACTAAAAAAACGAAGTACATGCTAATTACAAAAAGGCCACAAAATATACATCACCTATTGACAATAAATGGTAACGTGATAGAACAAGTAGAAAAATATCAGTATTTGGGAACTTTGATCAATGAAAACCAATGATCATACTGTAGAAATAAACAGACGAATAGAGATTGCCAGATCAGCATTTATACGAATGAAGCCACTCCTAACGTGCAAAAATCTAAATTTGGAGATCAGACTACGTACCATTCGCTGTTATATATTTTCAATATTATTATATGGAGCTGAGACTTGGACATTAAAAAAATGTAATTTAAAAAGAATCGAGGCCTTCGAACTCTGGTTATACCGCAGAGTATTGAAAATATCATGGACTGATAGAATTACAAATAAAGAAGTACTAGAGAGGGTTGGTAAAGAAACAGAACTAATCACCACTATACAAACCAGAAAACTGGAATACCTAGGCCACGTGATGAGGGGACCAAAATACGAAATTTTGAGACTGATAATACAGGGAGAGATTCAAGGAAGAAGATCTGTTGGCCGAAGGCAGAACTCATGGTTAAAGAATCTACGTGATTGGTACCAATGCAGATCGATTGATTTGTTTAGAGCAGCAAGTTCTAAAATAAAAATAGCCATTATGATTGCCAACCTCCGTAGGGAGACGGCACTCTAAGAAGAAGAAGAAGTCTTCTATTAAGCTTCTTCTTCTTCGTGCGACTAGGATTACTCCTGTTTGTCTGCCTCTTATTCTGTTTCAGTTGTTGTTGTCTGTACCTACATTATCTTTTCACCTTTTTGACGGCCTTCCAACGGGTCTTCTGCTATACGGTTTGTTGTTTTTACAGGTGTTCGCTTAGTTCGCTAAGATGTTCGTTCCAGTTTTTTTCTTGTTTTTATCCACCTGTTAATATTTTAAATTTTGCACTGTTCGCGTATACTTCTGTTGGTTTGTCTGCCTCTTAATGATATGCCCGCTATTGATCTTAATACTTTCATTTCGATATTGTTGATTTGTTGTTTCGTCTTTCTTGTATCGGTCCTTGTCTCCGCTGCATATGTTAGGATTGGTCTTACTGTTGTCTTGTATACCTTTATTTTGTTTCCGTGGTCAGGTATTTGTTTCTCCATATGGTTGCTCGGAGGCAACCACTTACTCCTGCCGCTTTTGATACTTGCCTTGTGGTCTCTGTTCTTATATCCCTGTCACTAGTGATCTCTACTCCTAGGTAATTGAATTTCATTACTTGGACACATATAGTCTTCTGCAGGTCATCACGCAGGGTCGATGACAAAAAGGGAATAGGTAAAAAGAGGAAGTCATAGCTGCGAAATATTCGAGACTGAACAAACATGACTGTAGATGAATTATTTCACGTTGCAAAAGACAGAAACTTTTAGAAATGTGGTCGCCAACCTCCGTTAATGTGGATGGCATAGGAAGAAGATTACTTGTTCTACAATTTTGCCGTCTATTTCCGGTTTGCATCTACGCGGCTCTTTACTGATCACTATACATTTAGTTTTTTCTACTGATATTCTCATATTAAGTTTGTTTGTTGTGATATTGAAGGTGTGGAGCTGCCATTGTAGGTCATCTTCGTTATCAGCAATTAGTACTGTATCATCGGCATAGCATAGTATCGTGATTTTATGCGCTCCCGTGTGGTATCAGTGTCGTTTTCTTACTTCGGGATTATTGACTCATCACCATATTGAATAACAATGGGCTGAGCGAATCTCCTTGGCGGATTCCTCCTTTTAGTTCTATGCATTCTGTTTCTCTTGTTGGCATTATAACTCTGGTCTTGTTGTTCTTGTTAATTTCATTAATTGTCCTTATCATCTGATGGTCTATTTGTTCAGCTTGTAATAAATTTAAGATGTCATTTAACTTCACCCTGTCAAAAACACTTTTTAAATCTACAAAGCACATGTATGCTGGTTTTTCATATTCAATAGACTTCTCTATTATTTGTCTGATACTAAAAATTGCGTCTATTGTGCTACGGTTCTTCCGGAAGCCTTGTTGTTCATCTGCCATGTTCGCTTTTTCCTCGATTTTATCTTTTATGACTGCCGTTAACAATTTTAATGTACTATTAATCAGACTAATGCCTCTATAATTTTCAGGATTTTTCGAGTCTCCTTTTTAAGTATCGGTAGCAGGAGACTTTCCTTCCATTCCGCTGGTACTACTCCGGTATTTATTATATCGACGAATAATTTTAGGAGTCATTTGCGTAGTGTTGTTCCTCCATATTTTAGCAGTTCATTGTTTATCTTATCAGGACCAGATGCTTTTCTGTTTTTTAATTTTTTTATTCGTTCTTGTAACTCTTCTTCTGATATTAGTACTCTATCGTGGGTTTCGTTAATTATTATTTCTCTGTTCTCTTCCTCTCCTTCTCCATATAATTTCGTGAAATGTTCGGTCCATTGTTCCTCCGTAGCTTTATCTATGTGTACAAATTCATTACTTCTGTTTTTTGTTTCCTTATCATCTTCCACACCTTTTTGTGGGATCCATAGAGGTCGTATTCCATATCTTCTTTGTTAAATTTCTCCTAGTGTTCGTTTTTGATGCTCTATTTTTTGGTTTACTCTATTTCTGATTCTCACGTAGTCTTTTTGTGCCTCCGGAGTCTTCACTCCTTTGTATGTTAGGAAAGCTTGTTTCTTTTCATTTGCTAATGCTTTCACTCTTTCCTCGTACCATGAAGTTTTGTAGTCCGTTTATTTCTGTTAACTTTTCTTTTACCTAAAGCTTCTTCCGCTGCTTGTTGGATACATTTTTTAATTATTTTCGAGGTTTCTTCTATATTCTTTAATCTTTAGGTTACGGCTATTTAGCTTTTCTGTTAGTCTGTTTCTATACAAGTATTGTGTTCCTTCTTCTTCTAAGCTTTCTATGTTTTACTTTTCTTCTACTTTTGTATTTCGCTTGCCTTGTGTGGTGATTTCTATATTTATTTTTCCTAGTGCCAGGCCATGGCCGGATCCTGCACTGGCCAAAGATAGAGTGCGCACATCCATTATATTCTCGAGATGTATTTGTCTGTTTGTAATATCTCGGACATGTAATGAGAGGCGAAAGATTCAACATCTTGAGACTCATAATTCAAGAAAAAAAATAGATGGTAGGAGAAGCTTGGACTCTGAAAGCCAAATCTATAAAAAAATTGGAGACATTCGAAATGTGGCTATATAGGCGTATTTTGAAGATTCCTTGGACTGCAAAAGTCTCAAATGAGGAAGTGTTAAGACGAGTTGGACATGGCAAAAAGCTTATGAATACAATTAAAATCAGAAAAACATCGTATCTGGGCCATATACACCGAAACGATAAATACTCTCTGCTACAAGTCATCATGCAAGGTAGAGTAGAGGGAAGAAAAGGCTTGGGAAGAAAGAAGCAAGCTTGGCTGAGGAATACCAAAGATTGGACTAACCTCAGTTTTGAACAGATATTTCACGTTGCAAAAGATCGAGAAGAAGAAGGAGAAGCGTAGGAAGAAGACGCGTTTCCTGGTTGAAGAACCTGAGAGAGTGGTTTGCTTTCAGCTCAAGCCAATTGTTTAGAGCAGCTGCCTTGAAGGTCAGAGTGGCCATGATGATTGCTAACCTTTGTCACGGAGATGGTACTTAAAGAAGAAGATTTGTCTGTTTGTTATAATGTAGAGTTACGTCCTCTTGTATCTGACCAGGTGATCTTATGTTGTATTGGGTGGTCAAAGTATGTGTTGTTAATTCGGAGTTTACTCGTTAAACAAAGTTCTTCCCTCCTTTGTCGTTGAGCGTTTCTTCGTTAAATCTTTGTGTAACTCCAGCCATAGGTATATTGCCTACTCTGGCGTTTAGGTCGCCGAGAATTTTACTAGCGGCTTTTGTGGTTAAGTCCATTAAGCAAAGCAACATATTTTATTTATTTGTTTTCCTTCAGCGAAAATGATAAACAAAATAATAACAGATTTCTGGAAAATGAAAAAATAATGCTATGTGAGTTTCAATTAAGAAGTAGAGGAGGAATACTGATTTGATATCCAAGAAAGACCTTTCGGATTGTTCATAAACCGTTGAGTCAAATAAGTAGATACTATAAGAATAAATCGACTGAGTAAACTAGTTTTAGAGATAGTTTTTAACATCTTCTTCTTCTTGTAGTTGTAGTGCCTATCCATTTCGGATGTTGGCAACCATCATGGCAATGTATTGTAATGTATTTTGCAAACTGCTGCTCTAGAAAGTTTTGTGGTTGTTGTGTTGAACCACGTACGTAAGAAATCCTTCGCCGTCCTGGTCCTCGTTTTATCATACTTTAAACTAAATTAAAAAAAAAAAACAAAACAAACAGATAACATAGAAAAATAAAAACTCAGAATTGGGTCAAAATGAATCTTCTTTAGATACTACCTCCAAGGGTGAAGATTTTGAGAATAAAGTGGCTTCTGATAGAGGAAAAAGATTTGACTACTTACTGAAACAGACTGAAATATTTTCGCATTTTATGAACCAAACAAAATCTCCCAGTAAACCGAAAACTGGGAGGCCTAAAAAGGAGAAGACCATGATTACGTTCCATGATTGATGAAGTGACATACGTTAAAAACTGAACAAGAAGAAGACGAAGAACTTTTGGCAGAAACCAACCTGAAAACAAAAACTACAACTCGTTTTGATGCCTCACCACCCTACATCAAAAACGGTGAAATGAGAGATTATCAAGTTCGTGGTTTGAACTGGATGATTTCTTTGTATGAACATGGCATCAACGGTATTTTAGCAGATGAGATGGGTTTGGGTAAAACTTTACAAACCATATCTCTGCTGGGATATATGAAGCACTATAAAAGTACACCTGGTCCTCATATTGTCATTGTTCCTAAATCTACCTTATCAAATTGGATGAATGAGTTCGAGAAGTGGTGTCCAACCTTGAGGGCTGTTAGTCTCATTGGTGATCAAGAGGCTAGGAACTCATTTATCAGAGATACGATGATGCCTGGTAAATGGGATGTTTGTATAACCTCGTATGAAATGTATATTAAAGAAAAATCTGTATTTAAAAAATTCAACTGGAGATATATGGTCATTGATGAAGCTCATCGTATAAAAAATGAAAAATCAAAGCTCTCCGAAATTCTCAGAGAGTTTAAGACTATTAATTTTATATTTAGCTTCTTTTAACATTTTGATTTGAATATTTTGGCTCGCAATATTATTATAACTATTATAACACAAAATCGCATAAAAAAAATCGAAAAATAAATAACTATGGTGTATTGTAGAAGCCAAAAAAAGGTATTATTTTTAGATTTCCAAAACCTTGAATTCTTTAATTATATTTTACGTCACCATATGCTAGTAAAAATTAATAATATATAGATACTTACATAATTACTACTTTTTAACACCTCTGTCTTCTACTTTCTCACAAGATTGACTGAATAAAGTAGCGATGAACAAATCGTTATATATGCAAATAATGTCAGTTGGGTTATCCCAGATAAACGCGCTATAAACATTTAATGTAATATGACAAATTATTATTTACAAGTATATCATTTCCAGAAAGAGGATTTAAAAGGTTTTTTTAAAGAGGAAAGGAAAGAGGATTTAAAACAAAAGATTAGCATATCCAATACAACAAAAATTAGTAGTTCATAATGCTTGTTCAATAAAAACCAATCTTTTGTCAGGTTAGCCTTGGAAACAATAATTGTAATAACTCAACTGACGTTCTGAAACTAACGTTCAGTATGACGTCTTTAAACTTTACAACGATCAGTTGCTATTATTTGTATTTTAGTGTAATTTTAAATATCGCTATCCTGGCAGTTTAATGACTTAATTATAAAATTTAAAATAAATGATTTTATTGTATTGGAGAAATCAAACTTGCGTTTTTCTTTGTAAGTGCAGTTATGAGGATATACAAATACAGTAGACCCGCGATTATCCGAGTCTAGGTTATCCGAGCCCCTTATATTGCGAATAGTAATGCGCCGCTACAAATACACAACGGTAAATACGGTAAATACACAACCACAACAACGACGTACTCAACGAACAATAATTAACATCGGCTCAGAAGAAATACCGGACATAACCGACTATGAAATAAGAATGACCCTAAATCAACTTAAAACGAATAAATGTCCGGGAGAGGATAAGATTACAGTTGAAATGTTGAAAATTGGTGGCAGAAAAATGGAACAGGTATTAAATGTTTTATTTAATAAAGTAATTGATGAAGGAAAGATTTCTCAAGAATGGTACAACTCCGAGGTCATTTTACTATTCAAGAAAGGAAACAGAGCAAACATCGAGAATTACCGACCAATATACTTTCTATCACATCTGTATAAATTACTAACTAAAATCATAACCAAGCGACTAACACATAAGCTCAATTTCTATCAACCTATCGGTTGGATTCAGAAAACATTTTAATACCATAGACCACTTGCACACCGTAAGAACACTGATAGAAAAATGCACGAGTATAATGTTCCAATTCATATGACGTTCGTCGATTTCCATAAAGCATTCGATTCCATCGAATTATGGCCAGTGCTTGAATCTCTAGAAAATGCACGCATAGATTCAAGATACGTTAACATAATTAAAAACATATATGAAAATGCCACCATGCATATAAAGCTGGACGAAAGCACAAAAACTAATCCCATAAGACTACAACGGGGAGTAAGACAAGGAGACACCATCTCTCCCAAACTACTTACCCTTGCTCTAGAAGATATTTTTAAGAAACTGGAATGGGACAATAAGGGTATCAACGTCGACGGATCATACTTAAACCACTTGAGATTCGCAGATGACATACTTTTAATAGCCAATAATATCCAAGAACTAAATGATATGTTACAACAATTAAATGCAGTTTCAGGAGCGGTAGGCTTAAAATGAATTACAGCAAAACAAAAATACTGAGCCGAGACCAGACAAATATAACAATACAAAATCATACCATAGAAAATGTGGAACATTATGTATATCTAGGTCATGTTATCAAACTAGGAAAACCAAATCAAGATGCTGAAATTAAAAGAAGAACACAACTGGCTTGGGGCGCTTTCGGCAAACTAGCACATATCTTGAAAAACACCTCCATTCCTATAAACTTAAAGAAAAAGGTGTATAACACATGCGTACTACCTGTTTGTATCATCAATCATGCTTGGAATATCACTAAGAGACAAGATTAGAAATACCGAGATAAGACGTAGAACGAAAACTAGGGATATTATGAAAGAAATTACAAAAATGAAATGGCGCTGGGCAGGTCACGTAGCCCGATATAATGACAACAGATGGACACGGATAATTCTAGAATGGAGACCAAGGACGACAACAAGAAGCATGGGAAGACCTCAAAAAAGATGGGTAGATGACATAAGAGCAGTGGCAGGCAAACAGTGGATTAGATTGGCGCAAGATAGAGAAAGATGGAAGCAATTGGAGAGACCTACATTCAGGAGTGGATGAAAAATGGTTGACAAAGAAGAGAATGCGCCGCTAGGTCGAGCAGAAACGTTCAGAAATTGGTCATCGCCTTATTTCCAGAAATTTCTGTATCGCGTTTTGTCTACAGTTATTTTTGCTATGTTATTCAGAGTGAAATGGACAAGGGTGAATCAATAAAAAAAAGTTGCTTCAGACTGAAATGTTGGAGAAGTAACTGTTGGAGATTGGAAGTTGAGGCGTTGTTTTTGTGGTTTTCACAAATGAGAGGATTGGGCAGCGCGTTAAGTGGCCGAATACATCAAGCAAAAGCTATTGCATTTCAGAAAAAGTTTATGGATGAAGGTTAAAAATTTTGTGCTAGTATGGGATGGATTGACTCAGTGAAGAAAAATATAGTATTCAACAATTGAATTTTTGTGTCCAAAAACTTTTGCTGACTCAACTGAAATTGGAACATTGTATTAAAAATTACAAGAGAGAGTTAAAATTATGATCTGCAACAATGCTTCTAATTCAATAAAACTAAGACCTCTTTCAATAGAAAAATCCAAAAGTTCAATGGCATTCAAAAATATCCAAGTGGCTTACTTAACTAGAATCTATAAAAGCCATGCAATGCATGGATGGACTGCAGCATTTTTAAGAACTGGTTTTTTAATGACTTTGAACGAGTCATTGATGCCTACTAAAAAACAAAAATATGCCTCCAAAAGCTTTGTTGTTGCTGCACAACGCAGAGTGAATTGATTAGTGGTGACATAAGAGCTGTGTTCCTTTCACTCAATGTGACGTCTTTCATCCAACTTCTAGGCCAAGGCATGATAGAAAGCAATGAAGAGGAATTATAGGCGAAGGCTTCTTCAGGTACTACTGAACAGGCTGGATGAAGGGCTGACTGTAATTGACGCAATGAAGAAGATCACAGTTAAGATGTTTGCTATTGGATTGCATCTGATTCAGATAGAAAACAAAACACTGGATCTTCAAAAAGAAACTGATGACTATGAAGTTGATACTGTAACCAACGTAGTCAATCGGAAACCAAGACGTCATCGATTGGAGGAATGGAGATAAAGAAATCAAACTGACAGATGACGCCATTGTCGATCTAATTCTAAACATGAACCATGAAGAAGAAGAAGATACAGATGAGATATCTCGAAAAGATTTCTCAGTCCGATGGGTTAAAGGCCCTTGAAGCAGCTCTCGCATACATCAACCAGCAAAAAGAATCGACGCCATTAGACGTCGTTTATTTTTAAAGTTGACGCAACATCGCCGCTTCAAAAAGAGGAATGAAGCTTACGCAAAAATCAATCAAACTTTTTTAAACAGTAACATTTATACGGTAAATTTTTTTATCTACAGTACTGTATTAGTTTTTAGTCATTAAAATAACCACAGTTATCGTTATTTCTATCAGTACAACCAATCTTGGTGTTAACCGATTTTTTCCGTATCCGACGTAGTCACGGTCCCAATTACCTCGGATAACCGCGAGTCTATTGTATGTATAAAGTGCAGTTTTGATCGCTCCAATACAATAAAGTAATTTTTCAAAATTTTGCAGTTATGTCAATATACTTCCGGAACAGCGATATGGTGACTTGAAAATGGTGTTCCTTTTTAACAATCTGTCCAAATATAATCAACGTTGCGTCATTCATTTTTTGTGAGTAACCATTGCAAACTCAAACTTTCAAGGAATGGCGTGAAAAGTTTAAGCCACGACCAGGTGCTTCTGCTAAAACATCAACAAACAGGAATGTGGCATGCGTGAAAGGCTTGTACAGAGATAATCTTCGAATTTCCATCACAGCAATTTCAGAAAATGTTGGTATTGTCGCCGTATTTTATTAGATTGGATCTAATACGCATTTTGATGCGCATCGCCCCACCTCTCGTTAATAATAAAATTTGATATTGGTGGTTGTAGTGAAAGTGTGCATATTCGCTCCGAGGGTTAAGAAAGTCTATCTTTCTATACAGTCCTTAACATCCATCCTTGGATATAGGCCTCCTCCTCCTTCTTCCATGCCTCTCTATCTTGGGTAATTTGCATCCATTTTGACCCGGCGTGTTTCTTCAGGTCATCTGACCATCGCATTTGTGGCCTTCCCCTTTTACGTTTGTGATTCCATAGTCTCCAATGTATAATTGTTTTTAATCCATCTTTCATCTTTCTGCCTTAGGGTGTGTCCGGCGAACTTCCATTTAAGCTTGCTACTTGGGTTGAGACATCTTTCACTTTTGTTTTATTACGGATCCATTCGTTTCTTTTTTTGTCTGATAGTTTAATGTTCAGCATTTGTCTTTCCATGGATCTTTCTGTCTTTGCTATTTTTTCCATATTTTCCTTTGTAAACGTCCATGTCTGAGAGCCATATGTGAGGACAGGGAGTATACATTGATTGAAGACTCTCGTTTTTAAGTATTGGGGGTATTTTGAATTCTTTAGAATATAAGACAGTTTTCCGAATTATGCCCAGGCCAATCTTATTCTTCTCTTTATTTCTTCGGTCTGATTTTCTTTATTTAATTTAGTGATTTGGCCTAGATATATATACTCTTTTACTTGTTCTATTTTTGTTTGTGCCACTGTAATTATAAGTTCTTCTGGTTGATTAGTCATGGTTTTTGTTTTACTATAAAAGTTAAGGTTAAGAAAGTGTCAAAGCAAAATCGACTGACCTGCTCATGGTGGCGATTGTTTGAAATTTTATCAGGACGCTTTTGTGAATGGTACAATGAACATATTCATTGTACCATGGATGTTGATCATTGGTTGGTCATGTATATATAACCTCACTTTCGCAAATTATGTTATTAAATCTTTATTAGCGACAAAAAATATTTTTGTTGAACTATAAATGTCACTATAAATGAATAACTAATTAATTATAAAAATTGTATCCGGATGTTAACACCACAAAATAAAATATTTAAGTTTAACAAAATAATCCCATAAGACTCAATACCAAAACGTCCTTACAAATCTGACAGCGTGTCACGTGACTGTAAATAGAGGGGAGACCACGGAGCGAATTGGTTGTATATAATTTTTTAACCCATTAAGTACCTACTGAAAATTGTGGAATTTGCTGTAGTTTTTAATTTTTTCTATAATAAGGATGTAGCAAATTTCCTACATAACTGATATTTTAAATACTCGTCTGGTAATAACAAGTATTACACCATGTACCTCATATGACACAGTAGTCCCCTATACTATTTACTAAAGTAAACACAATATTTAAAAATATGTATTCTTATTGTTAATATTACAAAAATTATGAAAACATGAAAATTGTTTACAAAGCTTCAATTTTGCTTGTGAAAGTCACTATCATTTGCCGCATTGTGTTCTCACAAGCGCTCGATTGTGCGAGACTGCCAGCAGGCAGGCCAGGTTTTTTTATTATTCGGAACATATTCAACATAGTGATCACTGTGGTCGTACCTAATATCGACAACAATCCTGCTTTTAGGTGCATATGTGGATGGTCGTTTATCACCTCTAGGTATTTTTAAAACCTTTTTAAATATACTTGTGCTATGTCTCTTCGAAAGTTCAATTGGGGTGCACCTGGCTGATGTTTTCTATATATTATTTACAAATTTTGGATATATCTATATAGTAGCCAAGTAAAGATGGACCACCATCATTTCTTGCCTCTAATTCCAACTCTATCAACATTTGTATTCGCATCCATTTGATCAGTTACAGCGTATCAATACAATTAGGTCTAGAAATCACTATTTTTCATTTTCAGTCGATGAGCAGCGGCATGCATTCGATACTGGAAAAACTTCCTGAACAGATGCTACAAAATCACCCATCGATCATGTAACCATTACGTGATCTGTGGTTACGACATAGTCATAAGTACCTATGGGTGTATTTTTTAGCTCTTTACTGTCCGAAGCGGACAATTCTTTAATAGTCTATTTTTTCTAACTGTTTCTGTTGCTTCATAACCATTTTCTATTAAATAATACATAATATCGATGGATGTGAATAGTTTATCAAAATAAAAATGGTATGTCATAGACCTAGTTTTCTTGGGCATCTCTTCAATAAGCTGCAATATCGGAGCTGTTGCTTCACCAAAGTTTTGTTGGTGCTCTTGATTAGAATTTGGCATATTTCCCTGATAAACACCAAAATTCTAGGGTAACCGTTTTTTTTTTATTGAGACACCAGGCTTAATATCCAAACCGGATGGGTTTTAATTAAATATACTACTTATACCCGTGTTTTCCAAAGTATTCTATCATGCTTTTATCATAGGCGTTTTCGTCATTCAAAATATAATGTCTTGAAAAGTAGGTTTTTATCTTATTTATAGGAGGTCTAAGTGTAGTCAGTTTTTCGTTGGGTTCAAGAAGAGTGTTATTGGCACAATGTACGAATCTCATGATCTGAATAAATCTGTCATGACCTAGAAGTTTTCGTTATGTCAATTTCAACCCGATTGTGACTTTACCCATTGTGACCCTAAATTAAATTTAGGCGTGTGATACGCGAAGCTATCAACTGACAACCAGGTACTTAATTTCATTTTTTCTTCTTCTACTCTTATTAATGTTGAGTTTTATTTAATTCCTTTTGACTTCCACTTTGGCATATGCTTTTCATTGTGATTAAGATTTTATCCAGAGTTTTTATTTAAGCCATTTCGATACCGTGTTTTTAATTAGAGATTTCCTAAAAATATTTCGTCCTTTAATTTATATTAACCAATTACTCATGAGTACCGATCTCGATACTATCCCTTTGATTGGCATTTCTTTTTTATCGAGGTTTACCTTAAATAATTTTATTATCTTGACGTTGAGTTACATAATTTCTTAATGATCGTAACGTCTTTTATATCTTGAACTTCTTTTCGAGGCACGTTCATCTAATCGTTGGAAGGGTATATAAAAAAATGTATTGTTAGGTTTTGATCGGAAACCATTTTCTTTCTTCTTCTTCACCAGTTTCCTCTCCTGGGAGGAGGCGGTGTAACATTTTTTTTATAATTAAAATATTAAATAATTTTTAATCCTCTTACTCCTATTGATCAGACGCCGATGGCCGTATTTGCAAATAATATATACGCGGGTGGTCGTGCTTACCATCGGCAAATTTAATTGGAATCTACCGACTACCTCAAAACACGAAAGGTCCGACTTATTTAAGACGCAAAAATAGAATATTGTAAGGCTTAGCTAATCCTTTCCGTTGCAAGGCGGATTCTTTTCGATAAATTCAGTAAATATCGTCGGGGGTACGTTGTAGTGTTTTTCTGAGAGAGCGTAATTCAGTAAGTTTTATGTTTTCACGTTTCCAATTGTTTACCTTGAAACTGTCGGAACTCTATATCTTCATAGAAATAAATACAGACTGGCCTGTCATTTTTAAGTGGGGATATCACACCTTATTTTTGGGGAAAGCTTGTAAAATTTGAGAGGAAGAACTTTACTTTTAGTCGGGCGATCTTTGATTAAAGACTCTCGCCTTATCTTACCGTTCTCTGTGCATTTTTTCTCTAAGTGTGTATACACTTAAATATTTTAGTTTTTTAATCTAATACCATATTCGATTAAATATTGGGATAAACTACTTTTAATTTAATTAACTTCAGTGCTTGATACAAATAAAGTATTATAGTAGAAATAGTGAAATAGTGAAGCAGTCATAGAAATTTACTGTAAGTTATCTTAATCATATTCTCTTCAATTATCTGGGCGATTTATATGGTATTTAATCATACTACCTTTCATTATTTGGCAAATCTATGTTCAACCATTTCTTCACCTGTAGTTAAGGTTAACTACCGATTTAACAATTGAATTAAAAGAACATTTATTATTTTCATATGAACTTTCAATCAGCTATTAAGAACTTCTAAATTACGAACATTTAATTCTCAGTTAATCATTAAATAACAGCGCGAGAGAGATAATTAACTAAAACCAAGTGCGGGTTGGTTTAATTTTTATAAACAGAATTCTTGGTTGTTTTTTGTATTCTATGAATTTAACTTTAGTTACCTTTGTGGTATTTGCTGTTCATTTTTTTTATTTACTGTACCCGTTATCTCGAGATAAGCCCACAAACGACAAAGAGAGATTTTTTTTAATCAGCTTAAGTTAATTTTTTTACACTATCAGGCTCTTTTCGCTAATAATTTAAACTGTGCATGATTTTATTATATTATTCTATTTGTAAAGGTATTACTTATTCATAATACTGTTTATTTCTATATGTATACCACCACTTGCAATTTCTTTTACTTGTATTTACATTCAGATGTAAAATCATCAGATTAATAAAAATTTATTTGTGTTGTTGAATATATTGTTTTGTTTTATGTTGTTTATGTTTATGTTATGTTGTTTATGTTTATTGGTAAGTTTATTTCTAGACTCCTAATAAGTTTCCTGATAACCTCTGAACATTTGCTTATTATATTATATTATTATACCTTCGACCAGGAGAAAGATCAGGCTGATTTTTTTGTAGGTAAGTAGGTGGACGAAGTCCACCTAATAAGTTCGCTCGCTCTCCACCAACCATCTGGCTGCCATCCGCAGGGTCTCCATTTGTGACCTTTCTAGCACCATCCAAAAAAAGGATTCCGAGTTTACAATAACACTGTGCTGTTTTTAGTATAGCTTCGACTACTACTCATACAATAACAATGGACAAATGGCGATACCAAAACTTAAAAAATATAAGCTTCCTTCTTTTTACCGTCCAATTTCTTTATTCATCACGTGTACCCAAAATATTTGAGTGGCTATAGAAAATAAAAATTTATTATCTAAATTTCAAAATGACTTTCAGCAGGATTGTGGAACTATATATGCAATATAGTGTCACCTCTGGGTAAATAATAAGGGTCTAACCACCTTATGTACCACCGTGTGCTCTGTAGAGGGCTTCGGAAACGTCGACGAAAACACCTACTCTACTTGAATCCATTTGCGGGGTATGGATTTGTAAAAAGGTTTTCTTCTAATGAGCTCATTTCATGACAAAAACTCCTACACGATGAAGTTTTCGAAATAATCCATCAGGTTCGTCGTCTTCGATGACTTGCCTTGAAAAAGGCAAGATATTTCTAAATGACTAATTATAGTCGAAACAAAACACCAGCTACAGTTGAAATAATACTCAGCCACAGAGTATCGGAAAATCTAAAAGTAAGCAGAGCCCCGATAGCACCATGCTTTCGGAGAGTTCGTGAGGGACTGACTTGGTTGACCTGAAAATCGCCTATTTTATACACGTTCAAGTAGCGATAAATAGGGATTTCCTGGTCAGGGACCAATAGGAAAAATGAGGGGCGGGGCGATGCGTCTCGAGCGCATACTAGTCGCGCTTGAGGACAATAGCATCTAGTCTTTAATATTTAAATTTGTTTCAAAAGATTATGACAATATAAACAAACAAACGTAAAAATGAATTTATTTATTAAAAAAACAATTTTCTTCCATTTACAAAAATATAACTTTTAACAACTTCTATATTTCATTACAAAATAACAACAGTCAACAATAATCTTAAGCAGCCACTTCAGGTTTCTTGGGACAGCATACTCCAGCATATCTGAAAAATATGTTTAGTTTAGTATAAGTTTTAATTACAACTATTGAACCATTTATTAAAATGGAGGTTATTTAATGAAATTATATGTTCAGTACCAAACAAATGTATTAAACACTACAATATTTTTTAACTTCCACAGAATTTAGTCGAATAACAATGACTCCTGAAACATCTAATTCATAAGGATTATAAACTATTCTAAAGTTTAATAATATAATTTTCTGAAGAAGCTGATATTTCAGTCTATTTCATCTATAGAATCAATGAAAAATAAATTAAAAATCACCATCTTATTTTCAAAAAGGCTGATAAAAGCAACTGCCTTGTTGTTTTAGAACACCAACTTTATATTGACAATGTCACTTATTTTCAGATAATAACAACTTTACACTTCTCTCCAGTTGATCCATCTAAATCTTTTATTTCCAAAATTAAAAACAGTTAAAAACAAATTTAAATTTTTTCTGAAGAAGAAGCACTCTACCATAAAATCCCCAGTAACCTTCTCATTCCCGGATTGTATGGATTACCTAAGATCTATACAGATAACATTTCTATTCGTCTAGTTGTCAGTTTCAACACTCCAGTTTCTATTTTGTCTAAATTCATTCTTAACACCCTAAAAAATTTTATCAACTTCACCCCCCAATGCACAATTTCTAACTATCACCAATTAGTTAAAAAACTTTTAACTTATTTATCTTAATTCTTATATTACCAGCATCATCATCATTTGCTTTTACAACTCTTCGTGAGTTTTTGCCGCGTTTACTATTGCCTTGCATTGATTCCGATCCTGTGCTATTATTTCCCATGGCCTTACTTCCATCTTCTCCAGGTCTTCCCTGACTGCGTCTTTCCACCTTTTTCTATGCCTTCCTGTCGATCTTTTACCATCTGGTCTTTCCCAAAACACACTGCTAATCAGTCTGTCGTCATCACTTCGTACCACGTGGCCTGCCCATCTTAATCTATTGGCTTTTATGTATCTTACGATGTTTCCTTTCCCGAAGAGAGTCTCTATTTCATTGTTGTATCTGCTCCTCCATTTATTTGTCACGCTGTCGCTGCAAGGACCATATATAATTCGCAGGATTTTGCGTTCCCATACTAATAGCTTATTGATTTCTTTCTTTCTCAATGTCCATGGTTCAATTCCATATGTCACTGCTGGTCGTATTATGGTTTTTTTGGGTGGATTTTGAGGAGGTCAAAGAATTCAAATACCTAGGAGCAACAATTACCAGTGAAAACACAGGAGAACAAGAGGTTGAAATACGAATACTGATGTACAACATCATATTACCATGCTATCCTTTTATGTTAGCAATTTATTTACTTCAGTACCCAAACAGGAATTTATAAGTCTGATTAACACACTCCTTACAAATAAATCTATCTCTCTCATCATCATTTCATCATCATATCATGCCTTTATAGATAATTTAGAATCCAATCATATCACAAAAGATCCTGAGATCCTACACTGGTTCCAATATGTTGATGACTGCCTAGTCTTCATTTCAGGTAACTCTGAATTAGCCGATAACTTACTTCATAAAATCAATCAAATTCATCTTAACATTACTTTTGCCTTGAAACTAGAAAGTTCTTACACATAAACTTCCTTCACTTATCCATCACCAGACTAAATGACCACTTTAGCTTTGGTATCTACTGTACAACTACATAAATAGATCATGTCATTCACTTCTCCTCAAATCATCCACTATCACAGAAGCTCTCGGTTTTTCGCAGTTTTATTCATTAACTACATCCATACATTATTAAACAAACATTATTAAGATTTTATTCCGAAAGAATCAAACAAATCATCACTACCCCTTCCGACAACATTAAAATTTCATTTAAAGTTAACAATCGCAGTGGTGTATACAAACGTTTTTGTTCAGATTGCAATGCTACCTATATTAGTAGAACTTACAGATCTTTATCAACCAAATTCTCCAAATACTCCAAGAGAAAGCCCACATCTGCCTTTTCACACCATTTAGAAGTCAACAAATATCAAAACTATCAAAACTATCAAAAATAATAATAACTTGAGATTCCTGAAGGTGTCCAAATAATGCACAATATACAACAAAGAAACATATTACGCTTGGATATATACGAAGACTAGAAATATTAAAATATGAAAACCCCAATTGTATCAACAGACAGACTTTGCTTAATCGTAATATACCCATTACAACAGAAGGGTTTTACTTCTATGTTTGAGTTTCTTAACTCTATGGTATACAACCAATTCCTGGGGATGATCCCTTTTTATTATATATACATATTATTAGGTTCATAGCCATCTTTTAACCTTTTTTTCTACTGCCAATAGTTCCATGGTCCCGTTCTTCTAGCTATGTGGTCGAATGTCCTCCTCCATCCTTTATTCTTCGTAAGGATAGTAGTGACATTATGGTATTTGACGAATGGTGTCTATCTATTCTTCTCTCTCCTGCGCGCGGTGTGCTGCCTCAGTCAGAGAGTAACCGGTAGCGCACTTTATTTGGTCTGACCATCGAAGTGGCGATCTTCCTCGAGCTCTTTTACCATCTACCTTGCCTTCAACCACCAACCTCTCCATGCCTTTCATTCGTCTGGTAATGTGTCCAAAGTACCTCAATATATTTTGGTTGATGATTGTGGTAAGCCTAGTATTGATGTCGAGTTCTGTCAACATTGAGACATTTTTGCGATGTGCTGTCCAGGGTATGCTCATCATTCTACAATATACCACATTTCAAAGGCCATTATACGTCGTGAGTCGGACTTTTTAATGGTCCAAGTTTCTGACGCATATGTAACGATAGGAAAGATAAGCGTCCGTACTAGGCGCAGTTTCGTGTTCCTGGTTATGTCCGTATCTTTCCAGATTTTAGTAAGTTTGACCGTTGCTGTCGAACTCGTGGAAATAAAATGGATATCGAGACAAAAAGGAACAATCCGGAAGAAGACTTAGAAATAAGTGACTCTGCTGAATCTACAAAAGTTACTGTTCCTAGGAGCAGATTTGTTTTATCCCTGTAACAAGAGCCTTGTATATTAAAGTGCCAAGAGAGATTCTATGTAGCAGATCTGCTGAAGCACCAAGGACTTGTATGTTAGTCAAATATACTATGTTGTACTATAACATGTGTAAAATAGACAGCTCTTGGAAGAAAAATGGACCGTAGACTTTGAAAAAAAAAAAACTATATTAAAATTCCTAACCGATTTTTGTTTTTGCCGAAAATTGGAAGACCTTATCTCTTACAATACATACGCTTATAATAGTATATTACGCAAAATTCAAATAAGCAAAATAACTTACTCATTTTGTACGACACAAGAGAAAGTCTTGTATACTTCGAAATCAGTCAGTTGTGGGAATACTTGAGGACAATCTTTAATAAGAGAGCAAACACCTTCTTTGCCTTCGGGTGTTTTTTGACAAGCTTCAGTGGCAGCAATTTTTAATGAATCTTCACCAAGTTTTAATTCACCTGTAAGGAAAAAATAAATATGAAATCAAGCTAATGTTTGAGTAATATACATATTTATTTTAATATATAATATTAAATCAATTTAAAATGTTCGAAACTGTCAAGATATGCAATCGATATTCTATCGATCCACTAAAACTCTTACTAACATTTCCCTTACTCACATTCCCGGCACTTCTTTTTATTTTTGGTTGTTCTATGAAGCTAAACTAATCGTTTCTAGGTTTCTACATTAGGTTTTGTAAAGCGTTCCTTCTTCTTTTATTCTTTCAAATGGCTACAGTCCCCTGAAGTGTTTGGTTTTGATGCCTTCTATACTTTTCTCCCACAAATTTATGCATGCTATCATTTTTTACACTCTAATTCTTCTCCTTTCCCTTAGGGGAGACTTTGGAGCATGATTACGTAGAATCATGTAGATCATGATATGAACATCATCACGTAGAGAGTAAGGATGACTCAACTCCGGATACAAGGTGACACTCAAGTTTTTTAGTATTCTCTCGACATAGCGGTTTATGCTGGAAGTGTCGATCGATTCCCTATCTTCTTGTGGGACTAGGGTTACTGTAGCATATCAGAATTAAAAAATATCAAATTTTTTCTTTTGATTTTTACGAGATGCAAGCTCATCAAATTAGATTAAATGGTTTTTTCATATCTTGGCACTTATTATATAAAGTCGTTGAAAATGAAAAATATAGTGTCTTAGAGACAGTAAAAGTGTCTTGAACTATAGTAAAATTCGGATTTAATTCATAAAGATGTTTTAATCCCAAATCTGCTAATCTGTATATATACCAAAGCCCCTTGGAATGCCGCCATGTTTTATTTTTCGTTGTTCTATTATATTCGCTAATTCTTGTCATATGAAATATCACACAGTTCTGTATGTTAAGTCGTAAACTCACTATAAGCTCCAAGTCCCTTTGACAATTTACCTCTGACGTCAACCCTTTAATATTTAGTTCTTAAGCTTACTTTTCCAATGACCGTCATACCTCACGATCCAACGAGCCGTTCTAGAGCTGAACGACGTCAGAATGTGGAGGGGTAGCGAACTGCCACAACCTCTATTATAGAGTATGCAAATATGACTATGTAATATGACTGTAGACTTTGTAAATATAATGTAAATATATATACATATACCTAGTTCAAATATCTGAATATATAACAACAATTCTAGCGTATTTCTTTATTGTACTATGAATTTTGCTGAACAGTGACCTAAGCATTATTTATTTAAAGAAAGAACCTGTATCAGAAATTTATAATCTTACCTAATGGCACGGATAAAGTTTTCTTTTCACTTAAAGCAGCTGATAACCATTTTAAAGAGTCTTCTAGTGTGGCGTTTTTAGATGTTTCAGTCGGTGTTGGCACTTGTATTGGTTTATGTGTTGCTGCATAACAGAAAAAAATTGTTAAAATATATTTATATTAGCTTAAGTTTCAATTTATTATCTAAATTTAAATTATAATATCTTAATATTATTTTTCGCCTTTTCTGAAAACCAACGTTTAAAGTAGTTAAAGACATGGCTAGTTAGTGTGGCTAAACTAGAATTAACCTTTGTCTGGCTGCATAGGTTTGTATTGTACTCTTTGAGTTTTCAAATTGTAATAACATTTTTTTTTGAGGTAGAGACTTGAAATTTTGTGACGTCTCCACACGATGGCATAGGTACATTTGGAACTTGTACATTTTTTTAAATAATTGCTATAAAATGTTGTAAAAAACAATATATATATATATATATATATATAAATATATATATATATAATATATATATAATATATAATATATATATATATATATATATAATATATAATATATATACTGCACTGGAGACAGTAGACGAGTATATATACCTGGGACAATTAATACATAAATCTGGCTCATTACTCCCAGAAATCAACAGAAGAATGAAACTGGCTTGGGCAGCTTTTGGTAAAAATTCAGTTATATTCAAATCTAGGATGCCACTCCACCTGAAGAAAAAGGCATTCGATCAATGTATACTACCAGTCATGACATACGGCTGCGAAACTTGGACACTAAAGAAAGATATAATAGCTAAACTCAAAGTCACTCAAAGGTCAATGGAGCGATGCATGTTAAGTATAACCAAGAGAGATCGAAAAAGAATAGAATGGATCAGACAGAAAACGAAGGTCACTGATGTAATCCACCGAATAAAATCTTTAAAATGGCAGTGGGCGGGACATTTAGCAAGAAGAACTGACAATAGATGGTCCACTAGAATTACTCTGTGGTATCCAAAAGGCGTCAAGAGACCAAGAAGACGTCCAAATTTAAGATGGGACTATGACATAAGGAAACAAGCCGGTACAACATGGCACAGAAAAGCGAATATTAGACAGTCGTGGGCAGACATGAAGAACGACTATGTAAGGGAGGCTGCACCATAATTGGTAGAATACGCTGATAATGATGATGATGATGATGATATATATATATATATATATATATATATATATATATATATATAATATATATATATGTATTGTATTTAAATGATAGTTTATTTAAATCCAAATACAAAAATTAATGTTAGTGTAAATTGTCACAACATGTCGTCAGGAAAAACATACTACAGAACTTTTTCTCGTTTTATACTGTGTTCTGTTCATTTCAGTAAACGTGGCAACTTCACTTCCGGTTTCTGGAGAAGATTCACGAGTGCCTGAGGAGGATATACTTGAGGAGGAGTAACTACAGCAACTACTATGTGTAAACTAAGAACCATTTCTACAGCACTACGAAGAAAATGGTTCCCCATCATCATTTGGTTTTTACTTCGAGATTGAACTGAACGCGAACAAGTATCTTTAACAAGATCCTTTAAAAATTTCCTGCGTTGATCCTTTGTCTCTTGTAATGGACTGTGCCCTTGATATATAATGTAGGATGCTAAGCCACTGACGTCAATCATATTATAAAAAAAGGTCAAGGGCCAACACAATGTTCGACGCTTGAACGTATACTCACCCAGCATTTTATCCATGATATCGACCCCCCTTTGGTTTTATTGCAATACTTAATTCTTTCCGGATTAGCTACTTCACTGTCTTCTATTTGTCCTGTCATAGACATGGACGAAAGTAAGACTACTGCTTTTGTTTTTCTCTGGCACATAAGAACATACAGTAGCTTCATAATTGTATGCAAAATTCGTAAAAAACAGCTCTTTCCTTCTTTGCATACTGGTTGGTAGAAATCTCTTAATTTTATTAACCGTGCTCGCTAGCATGATAACTCGTTTAGCGAGTTAAAACTGGTTAAAAAAATTTATCTGTGGTAACATTTAGCCTAGAACCCTTATAAGTGTACACCTACATTGGAACCGTATTTCTTCCGATATCGGGCGACGTCGGCCGACGTCGGATTGAAAACAAACTCAAGATATTAAATCATAGTGCCTGTACTGCTTCCATGACGCATACCATTGTCAGAGAAATATTATTAACATGTTTTCAGTGTTTTCGATCTTATTTTTATTTTTAATAAGAAATTAAATAAGAAATTTTTAATAAGAAAAAGCTATTTTAGCTTATCGAAATGATGAAATGACTAAAAGTTTGTTGCGAAAAGCAACAAAAGCATATGCCATCCCTTTTTCGACATTGCAAGAAATATTAAAAATAAAAGTCGTCAAGGTGCGTCATTAGGTAGAAAATCAGTATTTTCTGCCGAAGAAGAAGCTGAAATAGCCACACAAATAAAATATTTAGCTTCTATTTTTTATGGCGTAACAGCAAAAGAACTGAAAAAATTTGCATTTGAGTTTGCTTAAAGAAACAGTATTTTCTGATAAAACTGATAAAAAATTTTTTATTGAATTTTATGCATCACCGAATTTGTTTGAAGTATGTTTCCTTCAACGTAGTCATGAACTATTTAAAATGATTATTATCATTTTTGAAATTATTGGGTCGAAAGAACTCTGTCACGTAAAAGGGCAACACTGGCCCGTCGGACCCCATTTTTATTTATACCTAAAGTATAAATCTTTGAATGGCAGTCAGGCAATGTTTGTGTGGATTATCTAAACGACTTTTATGATTCCGGAAATCCAATAATAAAGTCTAAACGTGTAACAAACAATGTAAACATCTCTTTGATCCACCATCGCGGTGCGATGGAGTACCATCAAAAATAATAAGCCTCGTTAAACTTTTTAAAATGTTTCACTGGTAATAGTCCGACTGGAACGAAAACGTTTTGAAAAAATTGTAATCCTTTTGAATAAATGTTGTACTATTGTTAACTTACTTGGTCGCACTCTTGGTCTTCGTGGTTTTTGTACAGGATGAAACACGGGTCCCCTGTTGCTTACGACTGTAAAAAGAAATAATAACATACATTTTTTATTACTTAAATTTCTCATATACCAAATATACAAAAACATTGTCTTTTGTCTTCCATTTATGAAAGAATATACATATATATATATATATATATATATATAGATATATATATATATTATATATTATTATTTATATTATAATATAGAACGATATAACCGTTATTTCAGGATCTCTACCTCGTCAGCAGTTGGAATCATTTGACATGTGGTGATTTTGAAAATACCTGGATCCAACGAGTTACAAATGCAGATGTGTTAAGAAGGCTACAAAAGGATTGCGAGGTCATAAAGCACATCAAAACAAGAACGCTGGAATATTTAGGCCACGTCACCAGAGGTGCGAAATATGAGATATTAAGGCTCATAATGCAAGATAAAATCAAGTGTAAAAGATCCATAGGAAGACGAAGAATTTCCTGGCTAAGAAACCTAATAGAGTGGTATAGTTGCAGCCCAGTAGATCTTTTTAGCGCAGCCGCCAATAAGGTACGGATAGCTGTGATGATAGCAACCTCCGATAGGAGAAGGAACTACAAGAAGAAAGACTTCGTCAGCCGTTCGAGCTGATTCCGATTCAAAATTCCATCGTCTTAACTTGGATTGACCAAGGTTAATCGATGTGCTCGAGTTATCGGCAAAATTAATAAGATATATTATTTATGTCTTATTAATTTTATATAATAGCAAAATTAAAAAGAAATAACACACTCAAATAACAACTGTCGTTAAAAATGTAGACTAAAATGGCTTGAATACCCGAAAAGAATGGAGGATTACAGGCAGGTCAACAATTTTATAAGGATTGCCAGTAGGATGCGGGGGAATAATATATATATATATATATAATATATTATATATATATATATATATATATATATATATATATATCATGAATGTGTTGCTTGTGTGAGTCCATATCAAATAGGTAAAGAAATAATAGTAAGACTTACTCACAATCAATTTAATTTAACAATCTGACGACCGGTTTCGCTTTCTATAATTTGCAAAGCATCTTCAGGTCGAGATACAAAGTTAAACTAATGCTTGCAATAAAATAAACCCAATTAGGGTGGTGTTCATAAAGATAAAATAAACAAATAAATAAATATTGTTACGATTTTAAATGTTATGGCATATAGAACTGTAAATATTTTATGACTAATTCTTTTTATTGATTCTCGTAATTTGTAGGTCAAAATATACCTGAGCTTAGCTACCAGTTGTTTACCAGAAATCTCTAGACACTAATTTTGGTGAATCATCCACGTCTCGAGGTTGAAAAACGAGTCGAGCGCCTTCACCAAAATACGAGACTATTCAAGAAGTCCGCCGAATTCTCTAGATGACACAGTTGTGTATATAAATGAAAGATTTTTATTTGGCAGTCAGTCATAAGAAGCTCGGCAACCGCGATATTTAAATGTAACGAAACATAAATTATTATTTGTAATATAAATTAGAATTAATAAAGACTTTAATAAATTCGTAATTAGTTATCGTGAGTTTTAATAAATTAGATTATAGACAATAAAGTAGAATAAAGACAAATAAATTAGAACTATATAAACTCACAGTGGTGTCAGAAGTGGGATTTCAACATAAATCCAGCAGTGACTTTTGAAAAAGACTTTGAAACTTTTGAAAGGTATTGTTCGTCGGGAACATCCGCGTAGTTCGGTAGTGACCTTTGTACGAAAAGAACATTTATAAAAGTACGTGTGTGCCTGTACAAAGATGCTGCTAGTACAACTCTCGGTAAAACAGTTGCGTGAGCAATTAGAAGAACGCGATGAAGACTGCAGCGGGTCCAAGAAGATCCTCCAGGAGCGACTGAAGAATATTCTTAACAAGAATGGAGATGACCCAGAGACATTCCAGTTTCAATCATCAGAAGAAGCAGTTTTAACGAAAATAAAAAATGTGTCGGAAATGATTGAAGAGACTTCTAAAAAAATTGAAGAATCTTCTAGAAAAAATGATGATAAATTCGAGAACGTTTCCAAAAGATTCGATGAAACTTCTCAAATTATTAAAGAAACAGCTAGGCAAAACGACGAGAAATTTGAAAATATGTCTAGAAGATTCGACGAAGTATGTATTCAGAATAGTGAGAAGTTTGAAGAAGTCTCTAAAACATTCGATAAAGTAGAACAGAAAATCAAACAGTTAGAGACCATGATAACTAACACGAGAGTGCTACCACCAATTAATACGGTAGCTTTAGATCCGGTAGAGATAAAAGAAGACGAGACAAAATGTAAGTTGGAAACACGGCCGAAATTTGAAGGAAGCGGAAGTTCCGTTCATGTCAAAGTCCCAACTTTCGACGGAAAATCATCATGGAACAACTACATGAAACAGTTCGAATCAGCTGCAAGAGCGAATGGATGGTCTGAAAAAGAAAAGGCTGTAAACCTGACTATCGCTCTTCGAGGAGATGCCTTAGATGTGCTCCAGACTATAGCCGTAGAGGAGACGGATGATTTCGAACAACTGAAGAAGAGGTTAAATATGCGATATGGCCACGAACACTTGGAGCATGTATATCAGTCGCAGCTCAAAAATCGAAGACAAAAGAAAGATGAGGCTCTTCAAGAATATGAAGTAGATATCGCCAGATTAGTGCGATATGCTTATCCAACAGCTCCCGAAGACATGATGGAAAAATTGGCCGTTCAAACGTTTATTGATGGTCTTCGTGATCATGAGATGCAGAGAACACTACGATTAGCTCGTCACAAGACGCTGATGGATGTCTTATCTGCCGCCCTCGAATACGAGTCAGCTACGCAGGCCTCTGGCGGGTATAGCAAAGTTAGGACTGTAAAAGAGGAAGGAGATGAAGATAAACTTGACCAGCTCTTTAATATGATAAAAAGCATGACACACAAGAAAACGAAGACCATAAGACCGAAGACAAAACCAGAACGCGTCGGCCTTAGGGGAGCAGCTTCGACCCAGAACTTTACCAAAGACCCTCTGATACTAATAGCTTCTTTGAAATGTCGTGAAGATAGTTGTTAGAGACTGCGAACATCGGCAACGCAGCTTTTCAACCCGATGTGCCGAGGTAGCGACTTCTATTCGAGAGGCGAAGAGAGCTTCACCGACCGCCGTGGTGTGAAGACACATATCTAATTCACATTGTAAAATTCAAATAAATAAACGTTATACGAAAGCGTAAATGCGTTTTAATTCGACCAAATGAGAAAATATACAGTCCACTTATTCATATACATATAATGGTCCATCGACCGAATAACAGTGATCGGCTTAAATAAACAATAAACGTTAAATTCGAAGTGATTTCATACGCGAAAACAGACAGTTCCAGTTCCAATATTCTTAAGTGCACGCGTACCTACGACGAGCAGATCATCCAAAAACCAAGCCACGCTGTGTGTGTACCTGACGCCAGGAAGGCTGCTAGCGGCGTTGCCTACAATTCAAACAGTGAGTACGAAAATCCTTTCTTTACCGAATTTATTCCTCCAAAAAATAAAATTATTTCTGTTTGTGTGAATACTGTTTTGATTTATTCTTCGAAAGAATTTATACGAATTTATTTCTCGTTTCTTAATTTGTAGTAATTTAATAATAATTTTATTATAACTTAAATAAATATGAATACTGAAGAGAAATTAAAAATTGTAAAACGAAAACGGGGTGCAGTAAAGGCCAAATTAACCCATTTTAAAAACTTTTTAAATGATTTGGAAACGGAAACAGGCTCTGAAATTCATATTTTAGAGGACGCGATTCATAATTTAAATTTACGTATCGAAGAAGCGAATAAAATAATACAAAATTACGAGGAATCGCAGTTAGAGTTAGAGGATTTAGTTGATGAGGACGAATTAGAAAGTTGTTATACCGAACGCGAGGAATTTACGAAATCTTTTTATTGCGAATTGGCCCGAAGTAAGCGATTACAATCTAAACTTTCTCGGCATAGTACAGATTTATCAAACAACAGTTCATACTCGGAAAATGCATCGGGTAGTCAAGTAAACGATTTTAATGGGTTTCGTCTTCCGCCAGTTGAGGTACCGAAATTTAGTGGTAATCATGAAGATTGGTTGGAATTTCACGAGACTTTTAGCTCATTAATACATACAAACAGTGCACTACGGAATTTTCAAAAGTTTCATTATCTTAAATCTTCACTTTCAGCTTGCGCGTCCGAGGTAATAGCATCAATTGAATTTAGCGAGGCAAATTACATTGTAGCGTGGAATTTGCTTTGTGAGCGCTATAATAATGAAAGACTTCTTGTTCATAATCATGTAAAAGCATTATTTAATTTAGATATTAAAACATGTGAGTCTTCAAAAATATTACGGTTTTTGATAGATTCTATTTCAAAACACTTAAAAGCATTAAAGCAATTAAACCAACCCACCGAGCATTGGGATACTTTAATAATTTACGTAGTAACTTCTAAGTTTGATAATAAAACAGCGCGAGAATGGGAAGAATTTAGATCGAAAATGCAATATCCGACAGTGCGAGATTTAAAAACATTTTTAAAATCAAAGGCTGATTTGCTGGAAACAATAGAATCTAAACGCGATACATCTTCAGGAAATACTTCTTCTTTTCATAAAAAACAATCCAGAATATCTCAATCGTTTGTCAATACGGAAAATGTTTCTTCAAGGAACAATAATACAGCTGATCGTTCGGGAAATAACATGACTTGTGCTTTCTGCAAACAAAATCATTATATTCGAAACTGTGCAGAATTTCTTAAACTTTCCCCAGCAGAAAGAAATACGCATGCGAAAAGACTTAGATTATGTATAAATTGTTTACGACCTGGTCACATAAATACGGTTTGCAGACTAAGCAACTGCAGAAAATGTAACGGTAGACACAATACGATATTACATATACAAAATAACGAATACAATAGACGCGAAAATAATACAACGGAGAACTCAAATGTATCTCTAACTTGTTCAAATATTAC